GTTTTAGTGGGGGATTATTGGTGGTGAGCAATATGCAAAATATGCATTGTTGTTGCTTCTTTGCTTCAACCATGTTTGTGAATCTGAGGGAAATAAAATAAATAATAAATACATTATCTCTGCACTTATATAACACTTAATCTACTTAATTTATCCCAAAACTGGATAACGGAGGAGGAAATTAGCGGCTTGAACAATATTTACATTTTGTGCAACTGAGGCTCGGATCAGAGTGTTTTCATGCCGCTCGTTCATCTCTTGGTTAATAAGTGTCTAATTGGAGGATGTCTTTTTCAGTATCTGCTGACGCCATCGCTGCAGGAAGGCCAGCCAGAAATGAGATCTCATTACTGGTTGGTTCTTCTGGCTGAGCTGGGAGCCAGGCCTGGCAGAGCGAGACACACACTGCGACAGCAGCGCTGCTGACACACTTACACACATTTTGTGTTACCAGCCCCAACCCTAAAATGGCTTTTCAGAAAACTTTACCCAGCTTTCCAAAGATGTTGCCCACTCCTTCACACCCAAATCCCAGTAAGAAAGGGGATGAAGTGGGATTTTTAGGAAGTACACTGTACATACAGAACACTCACACAAACAAACACAGACATCCTGTCCAAGTTTCACAGCAAGAAGACAGATTGGAGTCAGTGTGAGCGTGGTGAGACGAATGTTTTCTGGCAGTCAGTGATAAAGATGACATCACAGCACAGCCATGGTGATGAACAATGTGTTCTGATCCGTCTCCACTGAAAAGAGCAACGTCCCTCATTCTTCTCCCATAGTCCGGTTCGCAGCCCAAACAAACATTCAGCGTGCCGTTTTCCTTCAGGCCAGTGAAGATGAGACTCCTGTGGGACACCAAGAAGACCGGTTTATTATAAATGATAAAAGCTCAGAGGCTCAGCTGAGGCTTGAATCCAGGCCTGGGTGTTTCTGCATGGAGTTTGCATGTTCTCCATGTGCAGGTGTGGGTTTTCTCCAGGCACTCCAGTTTCCTTCTACAGTCAAAAAATATGACTGATAGGTTGAAACGTCTCTTCAAATTGTTCTCAGGTGTCAGTATTTGTCCTGTGTGTTTAATTTCACAACATAAGTGCTCAATAAATTTATTAATTACTCTGAAAATAATTATTCAGGGTATTTGCTGGTGAATATCTTTTGTAATAGTTTCAAATGCATCACAAATTCCTAATAAAAATAAGTCTAGCTGAATGTCGCAACACATTCTGAACAAATGTCTGTACTTTGGGACGTATTTTCAGAAGTTGTATTTATTTAGCTGCAGCTTTATTTAATTATGAATTTTTGTTAATTCATGTTCTCAGATGCAGCTTGCTCTGCACTTTAGCACTTAAGTTTTTCATTTTTTACGCACAGCTTCTGTGTCTTTGAATGAATCTGAGGACAAGGTCCATTTTCTGGTCTAAAACATTTTCCATTGAAAGAGAAAACAATCTGTGTCCTTATTAAGATGAAAAGAAAAATGCACATTAGCTGATATGAGCCTATTCCATGACATAAATGAGCCATGCAGAGATATTTTGATCTGCAGAGCCTGGCAGGTTGATTGTAAGAAGAAAAATGTCCTGATCTCACCGAGTCCCAGTTTGATATGACATTTAAGTTGATCAAATCAAAGCCAGGTTTATGCTAAACACCTCAGTCGTTGCTCAATTTTAAATGACCAACTGAATGTTTCTCTATGCAAAATGAAATGTCCAGACTGCAAAAGTTTCTGTGGAGGACGCAGAGTGGGACACACTCTGAGGAACGGTCATCTCACTGGCTGATCCTCAGTGAGATGAAAACCAGACAGAATCAGGAGTTACAGCTCCCTTCACAGTTATTGGTGGCCCCCATAAAGACATGAACTTAAAAACTAGCAGTTGAGAGAGCTTGATGACCAGGCATGGTGGGAAGAAACCAGGTTCAGCATGTTTCTCACAGTTCTGGTTGTAATATTAGTCATTCTTGAACATAGAAACATTCTAATTTCACTTTATGCTGCCTCTGAGATCCAAAACATGTCGTTTATCTGAGGTGTGTGTGTGGGCCAGATTTCCTTGTAAATGTAAAATCTTGATACATCATCATTCATTATTTTGTGTTTAACAATGAGGAGCAAGTATCTATTTACATTATCTCCACTGTCACCCTGTGCTTGTTCAGGATGATTACTTCAAAGTCAATGAATCGTTGTAATTGGCTGGGCTTCTCTGGAGAGATGCTTTTTTCCTAATTGGCATTATTTAATTTAAATTCACTAAATGAGTTCAAGATGAAATATGTTATTGGACTCAGACAGATTTGATTCAGTCATTTTGTGTGTGAATGAATCTTTTCATCCTGTAAGTTTTCTGAAATAATATCTGTTGTGTATTTGACAGTATATTAATAAACTCTGCAGGTAAATTGAGTACATGGGGGAAAATGCTGGATATGATCCTCATGAGTCACATTCCTCTGCTAATTACAGAAGCTACGTTTTGAGGCTTTGTGTAGAAGCAGCAGCAGCTGATTTGGTAGCAAAGCTCTTAATTCTCACCTGGTTTTTACCTGCATAAAGTTTGTTGTTTGGCTTTTCATGAACCTGGAAAGAAACTCAGAACTGCTACACTAAAACACCTGACCAGTCTTCAGACGAACCGCTAGCTAAGACCAAAGTGACGCAACTTTTATCACATGAAGCAGTGAATATGAAAACAGCTTGAATATTATAAACTAAGAAAAGCAGCTTAACAAACATAAACACTTAGCGGTAACTAAGGAGTCACTTCTGGAACTGTTTTATTTCGACCATTAGAATTTACAATCATCAAACGTTTGAACGCTCAGTTTTCCTTTGTGGAGATTCTCACAAGTCAGTGGAAACGTTGTTTTTATTACGTCTGAAAAAGAGAATTTGTTCTGCTCTGTTTTTAGTCACCCAGCTCCTGTAACAACATGCAGCATCAGCACTCAGGTGACAGAAGACCCAAAAAGTAAAAGCAGTTGGTGTTTATTTTGCTTGGCCTGTTTGTGCAGAGGTATGCTTGATAAGTTGTGAATGTTGCAGCACTTAGAGGTTAATTATTGTTATTTTTACCAGCTGAGGGAACAGCGAAGTGGGGCAGCGTCAGATCAGAGAAGCTCCGTCTGCAGGAGAGCGCCAGCCGCAGACAGAAATAAACCTGACAGTTCTGCATTCCTCACTCTGTTCCCTTTCAACTGTGAATATGACACCGCTGAGTCACACGGGGACATGTGTGTGTGTGTGTGTGTGTGTGTGTGTGTGTGTGTGTGTGTGTGTGTGTAGGTGTGTCACTTAGAAAGAGCTTGTCTACGCAAAGTTCATACGTTTTTATGCATAAGTGCAGGCCGTTCACTGATGTATAGATATGAACAGGAAAACATAATAGGATCAGTCATCTTCAGTCTTCTGTCACACACACACACACACACACACACACACACACACACACACACACACACACACACACACACACATCTCTGCTTTGAAGTATCAGTGTATACGTCTATAACTCACCAGCTTGTCCTTAATTCCTGATTATGGTTTATTTTCTTGTCATATTCTCAGCCTTCATGTAACTGAACAGACAATAACAGAGAATTTAAGAGACACATTTAAAAACATGGATCACAAAACTGTCACAAAAATGACAATGGTTTTGTCTTAATAACTCCTGAGTTTACAAAGATTTAAATGTTCACATTAAAATGATTGCAGTGCTTCATCCCCTTCATTCCTACTAAATGTAGTGGATTCAATAAATTGGCTGTATTTTTGCATATTTTCTAAACCTAAGTGACTTTTCCTTTTTTGAAAAATACTGAGTATGACAAAGTACTTTTAACATAACAGTTAAACTCCCTATCTCATTCTGATTCAATTTATTTTTTCCTTTCAACATTTTCCTTTTAGCAGTCTTTGGAAAATGAATGCATAGTTCATGTTTCTCCCTCCCTGGGTAATCTTTGCCTTTCTCTTTACACTCCACATTGCAGATTTTCTGCTCTGCTTGCACACAAGTGAACGTCCATGAGGGAGCAAATAAATCTGCAATACTGCAACAAAAATGTCCAGGTTGTAATAAAACTGCAACAAAAGACACATTTTCCCATGTTTTATTTTGCCTCCTTTCTTTTCCATCTCCATTTCAATCTTACTTATTGTTAAACGCAAAATAATGAATGATGATGTATCAAGATCTTACATTTACAAGGAAATCTGGCCCACACACACACCTCGGATAAACGACACATTTTGGATCTCAGAGGCAGCGTAAAGTGAAATTAGAATATTTCCATTAAGTTTCTGGATTATTAGCTTTTACTATTTGCACAAAAATAAAAATTTATCCCCACTAAAAAGTGCACATTAAATACATAATAAATACAGAAAAAATATGTACCAAACCTCAGATTCTTTCTTTTTGATGCTTTTACTTCTTGTGAATTCATGGCCCAGAACCCATTATTGGCTTTCTGTGACTCACAATTGACCTTAGTCATGAGTGTCTGTGTGTGTGCGTGTGTGTGTGTGCGTGTGTGTGTGTGTGTGTGTGTGTATGTGTGTGTGTGTGTGTGTGTGTGTGTGTGTGCGTGTGTTTGCGTGTGTGTGTGTGTGTGTTGGTTCTGACAGTCACACACTGACCGCTGCGAAGGCTCCATGCTCCCTGCACAACCTGAAAGGGGATTAGGAAGACATAGAAAATGCTTGGATGGATCTTTGCTGTCGTTTTATTTTGGACAGAAAAACTTTTGTTGTGCATCTATTTCCTGAAAAATTACTTTTCTTTCTGTTTCTGCTAGCACATTTCTTTTGCCCATTTTCGTGTCTGGTTATAAAGGGAATCTGATTGTGTTTCACAGAACAGAAACTAGTGAAGACATATTACCAAAATGAACTGGCAGCATTTATTACTTCTTGGCATTACTCTCCTTCCGTTGCACTCATCAAATGAATGCTCCTTGCTGGAAGAGCAGCAGTGCAGCTGCGTCCAAAGCCTTTAGATAATGGGGCTAATAATGTGATGGTGCAGATGATGACATCCTCCGCTAATACAGCTTTACACGCATTTAAAAATACAGATTTGATTCTAATCTTCTACAGCAGCACTTAGTGTCAATTGGTTCTGAAGCCACAACAGCATTTCTCTCTCATTACAGCAAAAATGACAAGTTATTGAAAAGTACCAACCTCCAGCTCACCACTAGCTGAACTGAATCTTATTTTGAGGAATAAAACTGAAGAGGGTTTGATATGATTCCCATAGTGTTTGGTTGTTTGAGCACTAATGAATACTTTTCAGGTATGTAAAATTGTTTTAAACCATTTAATTGCACAAAATTGTATGAATTATTCAAGTTGTGTTGACCTGTCACATATAAACCCAATAACATACAGTTTCCTGTCATATTAAATATAAAAAGAAGGTTTAAGGGCCACGAATGAGTTTGTTTTGGACGACACTTCAACGTCTGACACCAGCATAAAATCGCTGCTTGTTGAAAACCTTTTGTGGACATTCAGCACATAAAGACTGAAAAGACTGAAATTTAGAGGCCAAATGTATCCAAGTTTCTGCCAATCTTGATAAAAGAGAAAAGTTATGACCCCAGAATTGGTGCAAACAAGAGGAATTTTCCGAGTCTGACTGTTTAAAAGCTGCGGGGAGTAAACTTGTTTTTTCCTACCCAACTCTCTTGCTCTGCTGTCAGGAGCCATATGGGTCGTTTCCTGACGGGTTCCTGTGAGCTTTAGAAACACAACCTGCACAAGGTTAAAGACTCATCCACCACGTTCTCACTACGTTAGGACGATGGTAAACTCTCTGCTGTAAAACTTCTTACCAACTTCATCTAAAACTTCTGTGACTTTCCTAGTTTTTTTAGTGGAATCCAAAAATTCCCCAATTCCCTCCATTTTTCCCACATAGTGGAAATTAAAAAGCCTGCTTCATGTAAACTGAAAATAAACTCAAATCAAACGGTAGATGTTTGACTTGGTGCTCATTGCTTTCATCTGGTTGTGTAGTTGTTTTAGCTGTCGTGGCGTAAAGGCACAATGAGAGGATGAAGGGTCAGTGTTGAGGGTTCGGTGACATCTAGTGGCAC